TTGAGGTGAAATGACACTTAAAACTTGCTGCAGTTGTTGATAGTGATAAAATTAATGGAAGAGTGAAAAGGCTTATTCTAGGATGTAATAAAGTATGTAGACTGATTATACAACCGTTCTAATTATCAAGCAGCTCTATAAAGGAAATGTGTGTACTGTACAGCATCAATTAATAAATTCCATTATTTCTACATGATGCTTTTTATACATATTTTAATTCATATTTTCTGATTCTGTAACTGGATTTAGAAAAAAATGAGTTATTGAAAACCTCACTCTACCTTTGCCTGCAGCCTCAACCTTTGGAGGAACCGTAGAGACATGTTTCAAGAGACCTGCACAAAGACACGATGCACAGTGCAGAGAAGTGTGTAGGGCCTGGGCCACTGAAGAGCAGGGCCTTTTGCTTACCCTTTCCTGACTGCTGCAGCACTCAGACCCACGCCACGATAACACGGTGGCTTCCCCGTTTGAACAAGTGAGCTCTGCACAGACACAGACGCAGAGGGTTATCAGGTACACACTTTTCGTACCCAGTATTTATTTCCCAGACACTCGCTCATCCTAGCCCATAAATCCAATTTGTCAGAAGTGACAAAACATTTCAATCGCCCTACATCCCCAAATTCTGCAAAGAAGAAAAGGTAAAGTAAGAACTTGTGCACGCTGCTTGCCATGCTTCCAACCTTAGAGAATCTTAAGGATAATTAACAACTCCATGCAACCAGTCATGCATTGAAATGCCAATACAGTTTTAGACAGAGGCAGTCACAGAAGTGGGAACAACACTTTTCACCCTCCGCCTTTCCCCTCTCCATCATTAGTACTAGAGTAGCTGGTGGTGGAGACCTGACAGCTTTATCACCCAAGCTGCCAGAATTTACAAAGCCACCTTTAAATTCATGGCAGTGCCTGTACCAGAGTCTTATAATTCCTGCAGCTCCTGGGTGAAAAGGGAAATTAAATGGAGCTGTGAAAACTGAAATGTCCTGATGAGTTACCATCTTGCACTTTAGATAACAGTTCCAGAGACATTTGCAGGGAAAGAAAAAAAAAGCACTCAAAGCCTCGGCCCACATTAGCAGTATAATTCCTGTAGGTTTTTTCCCAGGAAGGCAAGCAGTTATTGCCACTTTCTTACTTCTGTGTTCTATATGCCATTAAGCAGCACACGGCTGTTTCAGGGAAAATGAATGAGAATAAAGCCAAGAGCACACGTGCAGCACTACATCCAGACTGGCTTGAAATCCAGCCCCCACATCTTTCCCTGGCTTGTTCAAAACAGCAACTGGGCACATTTGTAGTTATTTTCCTTGTTTTTCCCTGGTCATTTATACCAGACCACAGTTCAACGCTCCCAAACCCCATTTTATCTGTTTCCACACTACAGTTTTATATTAACTGCTACGAGCGTGACTGCCCAACGTATGTACAGAACAGTGAAGAATCACACAAATGTACTTACGTGCTGTTTTTTTCCAACCTGTGCCCCTCATACAGTACCTGACAGGGCAGCAAGATAACAGCATGTCTGGTTTTGAAGGCACACCAGGCCTGTCTGATACCCGGCATGGTTCCTCTGAGTGTGGCTACAGGGCAGTGAGACAGCAACTAGTATACGATGGCAAAAATACACAGTGATCTTCCCAAAGGTAGTGTACTAATTTAAAAGATTGATCTGGACCACCACAAATCAAGCTGATGCAGCTCGACAGGGCTGAAAAATAAACCCATGTCCATAACTTTATTTTACAGGCATTACCATTGACATGTGGCGATCGCACGCTCAGAAGAAATTGATAGCCCATAGGAATAATACTCATACCTATGCAAATTTGACCCTTTTTAAAATTATTTGCAGCATAAACTACTTCCTAAGATGTCAGATCTCTGGCTAGCACCAGCCTGTAGCAAGCAAGGTCTTACCCATAAACCCATTCCCAAAAATGCCACTGATTTAGAAGAAATATCATCCATCTTGACTACAATAATACTGGCTTTTCTTTGAATACTGGCTCTTCGCTAAGAAGAGATGGTGAAATCTTTCAGTCCACATCACATGGCCAAAGTCCACGTAGTAAGTTCTGAAATCCAGACCTACCATTGCTCAAGGAATTCTGTGGTTTGCTTTTTACCTTGTTTATTGTGTACAAAGATGTAAAATCTTTCAGAAGCGGTGCTGAGACTGTAACAATACTTTGACAGTTTAAAACATACAAATTTTACTTGGATGGGTGGAAGCCATAGGGCAACAAGAGGCAACACAAAATACCTTGGTGACTACAAACAACATGGTTCTGATACTAACTTGCAGTAGATGGTGGCTGTGCCTCCAGCTGAGGTAAGGTTGAGTATATTAGCACTGAAGTAAGTTGGAGGAAACTGCAGCTGAAAATAAATCTGCTGTGGAAACATTTAAAGTATTATTAGTATCAAATTCTCTTCCCGGTGACTCGAGAGAAGATCTGGCTGCCATACATGACAGGCTTTGTCTTACCCCTCTTGCAATGTGAGACTCACCAAGGGACAATTCACAGGAAGTATATTATTTCATAAATCAAAGAAATCAAAGATTGAGTGATTCATCAGGGCTTGAAGGTAAAAACTATATAATACTGACTGTGCAGCAAGGGTTCTGAAGAGTATAGAAATGAAACTGCAGTGAAGGGAAACATTTCTTTTTTATCTTCTTTTGCTTTTTCCTTTTTTTTTTTTTTTTAATAATATGGTCCATACTAAGTCTCCAGAGAAGTCTGCAAAGAAACTTAATTTCAAAGGAGCAGAACTGAGTAACAGTCTGTGAACGCAAGCAGCCCATCAAATAAAAATGTGCCAAAGAAAAAACAAGTCAGACAGCTCGACAGCCTGTGATTTTCAGTTCCCAAAGCAACTCTAAAGCAACCAAAACAACTCTTCCTTTCCATCAGGCTATCACTGCATTAAATAAACCACACACCATGTGTTGATGCAATTCAACTCTACTTTTCTCTATCATTAACTATAAACCCGCAGAAAAAAAATGCTGACCTGCAAACGTACCTCAGCATCACGACAGTTCCTCTTTTCCAAAGAGAATGGTTGGTTATTGTACACCACGAACAGAATCTAACCCAGACGGACTGTACAAACTCCTGCTTCTAAACCAAAGTGTTATGTAACTTAATTAATTATGACAGCATAGGTGACAACAATCTCACTGTAAAGGTTTTTTTCAGCTTTGGGGGTAAGCTGCATTAGCAATGGACCCAGGAAGTAGGATTCTTGTCCTTCTGTTTTCCCCTGGGGAGACTCAAAAGCCCCTTTCCGAAGGGGAAGGAACAATCCTTTAGAGAAGGTGATGGGTGGGAGACGAGAAACTTGGTGCAGTTTATCTAGTGCCAGGCTTGGATATTTGGTATTTAAGCTTTAAGTTATACTTTGAAAAGATAGATATTAATTGCTTTGAATAGTGCAAGCTGGAAGGGACCTCAGGAGGTCTCTAGTCCAACCTCCTGCTCAGAGCAGGGTCAAACATGAAGCCAGAACAGATTGCTCAGCGTTTTAACCAGTTTAGGCTTGACACCCTCCAATGACAGAGACTGCACAACTCCATAGGCAACACACTCCCATTCCTGACCTCACAGTGAAAATTTTTTTCTTTAAATCACTCTGAATCTTTGTTTCAGCTTCAGCCTGTTGCGTCTCATCCACCCACCATGTACCACCGGGAAAAGCCTGGCTCCTCCTCCACGATCTCCTCATGGGTCTGGGTGGCTGCTCTCAGGTTCCCTCAAAGCCATCTCTTCTCCAGGCTGAGCCAGCCCCAGTCCCCCCGCTCCCCCACGGGAAAAGGGCTCCAGCCCTGACTCCCTTGGGGGCTGCTGCTCAACTCACTCCAGTTTATCAAGTCTTTTTTGTACTGGGAGACAAGCACCGGTCTGGAAGGTGAACACTTAAAACATGTAGGGTTTTTTTTTCCTGTAAAATGTAACTTTAAACAAATATTCTCAAAATCCAACAAGACTTCCCTAAGAACTGGCCATCATAAAAAAGAAAACAATAGATTAGTGGCATCACATGACAATGTCCTGAATTCTACTATTGAAACTGCATCCCCCCTTCAGAAACTCAAAACTGCCCATGGGTTCTGGGGGTAGTTTCACATCCTAACAGTAAATTAAAGGCATCTAATAATTTAAGTTTAATCCTTGATAAATTAGTGACAAGTTGAGGACTCTTGCTCATTCATGTTTGATGATTTCAAATCAAAACAAAATCCCCAGCTGGAATAGCTGTTTCATTTACAAGCATCTGCAACCATCACATAATCTACTATATATAATCTATAATCCATGCTCTCAACAAAAAAAAATTGTTATCTCATTGCTCAGATAAAAGAAGACTAAACAAATTAAGTTCAGGCAATTTGATTTATATATAAAAAAAAAAAAAAAAGTGATGAGAAGTTGCCAGCAGATGTAAAAGGTAGCTAGTTACCTCTGAAAGTAGAAAACAAGTCTTTCAAAACGAATACTGAAGGTAACATAAATTTAATGTCAAACATCCTCATTCTTACTGTTTCCACCAAAGTTGGAAATTCCTTTTAAAACACACTTAAAGAAGTATTTGGAGATGTTCTACCACAGTTGAAAAATAGGTGAAAACAGCAGTAAAACTGCTTCAAAGCAGCATTTCTCGAAGGTAAATTAGCAACAACCTTTAAGAATTAATTACTGGTGAAAAGGGCCATCTCCTTGTCTATTGCTGACAGCACCAGGTCACACCAATTTCAGCAGGATTTGCGGAGGTGAATACCTGTCAGATCAGTCCCCATCCTAATAAATAAATGCAGCACATTTCCATTTTAAAAACAGAACAAAAGGACATAAATCTATCGGCCAAGGGAAGAATACAAGACGCCGCCGAGGTTGTACCCTACTGCCGCTATCTGCTGCCACAACAGCACGCTCGCCCCGCGGGGGAGGAAGGTAGATGGCTCAAACCCCATAGTTTTCAAAGAAAAAAAAAAATAATTAATGCTTCAAAGAGTCATTAATTACAAGGCTATTCGCCAGCGGCATGCACACGGCGGCGGGCACGGCGCCGCGCCACCCTGCCGGCCGCCATCTTGCGGCCCGCCCTCCCGCCTGGCGTCTCTCTCGCGGGACCTCGGCTCTCCTTCCTCCTCCTTCTTCCTCCTCCTCTTCCTCTTACACCCGGAAACTGTGGCGGCGAGGGCAGCCGCCGCCACCATGGAGTACATGACGGGGCCGGCGGCCCCTACCCAGGGCAATATGTAAGCGGCGGGCTGGGGGGGTGGTGGGGCTCTGCCGGCCG